AGGTGCATGGCCATTATGGGATACAGAGTCTATGCCCCCACCCCCCACCCCACCTAATTCTTACCTTCTGGCATTCACACTCCTGTATCATCTTCTCCCCTCTTGAGTAGGCAGGATCAGTGACTTGCTTTTAACCAGTAGAATACAGCCAGGCTGATAGGATTTCACATCTGTGATTACCTTGCATGAGATGTGACTACTGTCTTGCTTGCAGACTCTCCCTGTTGACTCCTCCTTGCTGGCTTTCATGAAGTAAGCCACCATATGGAGAGACTCACATGGCAAGAGACTGAGGATGGTCTCCAGCCAACATCCAGGAAGGAGCTGAGATTCTCTTCTCAGTCTGGCAGCCCGTAAAGAATTGAGTCCTGAACCACCACATGAATTTGGAAGTAGTTGCTTCCCCATCTGAATCTCAGCTGAGACCCCAGCCCTGACTGACATCTTTACTGCAGTTTAATAAGAGGTGAACTGAACCTGGATTCTTTTTTTGTGTGTGTAAGATTTTCCTTCCCTGACCAGGCATCAACCTGTGCCCCCTTCACTGGGATCTCGAAGTCTCAACCATTGGACTGCCAGGGAAGTCCCTAAGTCTGGACTCTTGACCATAGAAATTGTGAGATAGTAAATCTGTCTTGTTTTAAACTGCTCAATTTATGGTAATTTGGTGTACAGCAGTATGTAACTAACACAGCACAGAGGATCATTTTGAAATATTAAAGATTCACATCACTCTTAAACTTGAATATACATAGATCTAGATGTAAAATGCGTGAAGTGTCTTATGTTTCTTTAACTATCAGACATTTGAACTCTAGGATTGTTAGCGGTTTTATTCTTTGCTTCTTCTTTTTTTAATTCATTTTTGTTGGTGTTTAATTGCTTTACAGTGTTGTGTTAGTTTCTGCTGCAGCAAAGTGAATCAGCTATACGTATACACGTATCCCCTCTTTTTCAGATTTCCTTCCCATTTATTTTAATTAATTAATTAATTAACTTTAATTGGAGGCTAATTACTTTACAAAAGTATGGAATGCTTCATGAATTTGTGTGTCATCCTTGTGCAGGGGCCATGCTAATCTTCTCTGTATCGTTCCAATTTTAGTGTATGTGCTGCCAAAGCAAGCACTTATTTTTTAATATTTATTGGAATTAAATTAAATTTAAAAATTAACATCTCTAGCTTTATTGAAACAGTTCATCTTAAAATGTTACTTTAATTTTGTCATTTGTATTTTGCCTTTTGATTTTAAAAGATAATTAAATAAATTGTTTAATTTTAAAAGAAAAAACATAAATAAAATATTCTAGAAAAATAACTTCAGAAAATATTTATTTTTTTTTCTATTTATTTTTATTAGTTGGAGGCTAATTACTTTACAGTATTGTAGTGGTTTTTGTTATACATTGACATGAATCAGCCATGGATTTACATGTATTCCCCATCCCGATCCCCCCTCCCACCTCCCTCTCCACCCGGTTCCTGTGGGTCTTCCCAGTGCACCAGGCGCGAGCACTTGTCTCATGCATCCAGCCTGGGCTGGTGATCTGTTTCACCCTAGATAATATACATGTTTCGATGCTGTTCTCTTGAAACATCCCACCCTCGCCTTCTCCCACAGAAGTATTTTAATTTGCTAATTTAAAAAATTTTAATTTGTACTTTTTATGAAAATGTATTCAAGTTTTGTGTCCTTTGATCTATAACTTCAATTTATTTTTTATTCCTTTAGGTCATTACTGCCAATAGCACACAATTACATAAAAATCTTGATTATAACAACAGGGTGAAGGACTTCCCTGGTGGTCCAGTGGTTAAGACTCTACACTTCCATTGCAAGGGGCCTGAGTTTGATCCCCAGCTGGGGAACTAAGATCCTACATGCTAAGTGGCATGGCCAAAAAAACAAAAAAACCAGTGTGAGTGATTTTGCTAAAATGAAGGCAAGAAAAACAAATTTTATGGAATAAATACATAGACATTCTTAATTATACTTTTTAAAAGTTACTCATTTAGATAGCACTGTTACATCAATACAACATAATTTAGTTCCATCATCTTTGATATTTTGCCAATTTTCAGACATATAAAAAACATAGCTTTACACGTATATTTTGACTATTTTAATGAAGGTATATTCTTTAAAATAAGAGGTTAGAACATGTTTTATTTGACAAATTTGTGAGCTTGATTTTTACCATGAAGACTTTTAGACACATGGCCTGTGGGCCTCCATTTGTGCTCTTGTCCTGGGCACTCTGTCAGGGTAGGTAACCTACCCAAGGTTACCCAGCTGGTAAATAGGGCTGAGATTCAGACTTCCACCTGTTTGTACTCCAAGGTCCGGGCTGTGTGACATGTGACCTGCCCTGGGTCAGCTTCTCCAATGGAGGGAGCCCTGAATGTCTCCGAAACTGGGATACTCTGTGTGGTCAAGGGCAGAAGAGGCTACAGACTTTGTGGGTTCCAGTGCAAAATGAAAATGCATTATAATTATAGTTAATACATTATTAAGAATTCCAAGATGCGGAGAGTAGAGCACTGAAGTAAGCAGGAGGTCTTTCTAGGTGCAAGGTATATGTAACTGCCTGGTCAGGGGGCTTCCTGAAGGTGGTGACACCAGTCCCCCTCTTCCACTTACAGTAGGTATGCTTGGATTTGGTGGGAAGAAAGGTCAAGAGCTAATGGGAAAGATGAGGACCCTCTATTTATAGCACTTTTTTAAAAAAACCAGTTTATTTAAATAAAAATGTGAGTCATTCAAAGGAAAAAAATAAGGAAATAAAAGCATATGTGATATATAGATATGGAAAAAATGTGATGAGTTATTTGAATGACCGGGGTTGGGAAATTGCTGTGTGAGTGTATATGTCTACAAGTATGTAATTGTGAGTGTGTGTGGATGAGTCTATATATGAATCTTTGTATCACTAAAAATGAATGTGAGTCTATGTCTGACTGTGGGTGTGTGATACATTTGTAGAAGTGGATGTGTGTCTAAGCACGTGTGTAGGATTGTGTGAATATGTATAGGGGAGTCTGTGTAGATGTGTGCACACAAACCTTTCTTATCCTGGACTTCTATTAAGAAGAATGTGAAATTATGAGCGGGGGATAACATTGGATGCATTTCTAATATCTTGTGTGTCTGTGTGTGTGTGTGTGTATATTTATATATGTCAGCTGTCACTACAATAACGCTGTGTAACAGTGAACAGGGAAATGGGGAAAGACTGCTAATGTATTGAACATGCAATTTTCTTTTGGGGTGATGAAAATGTTCTAAAATTGATTATAGTGATGGCTGCATGACTGTGAATCTGCCAAAAAAAATTGGATGGTATTATTTAAGTGGGTGGATTTTATGGTATGTGAATCGTGTTTCAATTTAGCTATTAAAAACCAACCACAAACATCTATTTTCTTGTTTATTAGTCTAGAGTGAACTGTAGCTCTGCTGGAATCATCTGGGGCTTGGCCTCTGGTTGTTGATGAGTTCAAACATATTCCACATGCTTCTTCTATGTGTCTTTCGCCCTCTTTGGCTCCGCAGTAGCTCAGGGAGGTTCCTTTCATGGTAATAGCTGAAGCACAAGGGGGCGAGCAGATACATGTAAGGTTTCCTAACAGCTTGGCTCAGAACTAGCACATCACTTCTGTCCACATTTCTGTTGGCTGAAAAAAATATCCTATGGTCAAGTCTAAGTAAAACATCCACAGGACAGGGAAATATACTTGCCTCACTCTCAAGCCCTTCAAGGTCATATGGGGGAGGGAGTGAAGACTTGAGAAGGATAATCCAGTCTACCACAGCTGCATAGTATGTTGCTCATGACCCTTTGGAGATCTGGTGAAACAGGTCATAGACTCGAAGGCAACCTCAAGTCTCCCCAAAGTTTCTGCCCGTTCCTGTATTTTATTTCCTAATGCTTCTCTTTTCCCTGAGCTACTCCCTGTCTCAGGGTCTTGTGCCTATATGAGCTTTTTTTTTTAAATTCACTTCTCTTTTTTGTTTTCCCCCCACTTTTTGTTATTGGAAAGTGAAAGTGAAAGTCACTCAGTTGTGTCTGACTCTTACGACCCCATGGACTGTAGCCTGCCAGGCTCCTCTGTCCATGGGGTTCTCCAGGCAAGAATATTAGATTGGGTTGCCATTTCCTCATCTAGGGGACCTTCCTGACCCAGGAATTGAACCTGAGTCTCCTGTATTGCAGGAAGATTCTTTAGCAAATGAGCTATGAGGGAAGCCCCACTTATTTGGGTCTTAGTTGCAGCATGCAGGTTCTTTTAGTTGTGGCATGCAAACTCAAACTCTTAATTGTGGCATGTGGGATCTAGTTCCCTGACCAGGTATTAAACCTGGGCCTCCTGTGTTGGGAATGTGGAGTCTTAGCTACTGGACCACCAGGGAAGTCCCTATGTGAGCTCTCTTGCTTCCACCCTGAGTCAAACCCAGATAAGAAACCTAGCCTCATCACTGTTTTTAAAAAGAAATGCCCTTAGTGCATTTTAGCAGCTTTTCTGAAGATGTCAAGGCTTATGGAGAAAGATCCCCTGGCTTTTTGCACAACCTTCTGTATTTATGGGCCCACCCATCTTCCCCTCTGCCTGGAGACTGCAGGGCACTTCCTAAAGGAAGTGACGTTTGATCAGATCTTGAAGACTTAGGAAGAGGTGGGCACTAGACAATGATGGGAAAGAACATTCCAGGGAGAGGAAACAGCAAGGGTAAAGTGAGAAAATATCTAGAATAGTTGAGAAAGGCAAGTACAGTTGACCCTTGAACAGCATGGGCATTAGACATGGACATCTACAACACACAGTTGAAAAATCTGCCTATAACTTTACAGTCAACCCTCCGAATTTCTGTTTTTTCATATGCATATTCAACCAACCTCGGGTCACATAGTCATTGTAGTACATATTTATTGGAAAAATCACGTATAAGTGGACCCTCATAGTTCAAACCTGTTTTGTTCAGGGGTCAACTGTAGTCACCATGGCTGGAGTGGAAGGTATGATCTGGGGAGTGGTGGCGGGTAAGGCTAAGTGTCCCACTGGTCCATGAAGTGGCTTATACTGGGTCCAGATGGGATAGAACTCCTTTTCCAAAATTACCTTTCTTGTATGATTCTGGATTAGCATCAGCCACAAGAGAAATTTGTGCGAGTTTTGGAAGATGGATGTGAAATTAGCCATGTTTTCATGCTCTAAAGGTCAATTCAGGGCCCTAGGCACTATAGACACCAGTGCCAATCAGTTCTCTGAGTTCCTGTGGCTCCAGGTTCATCCTCCCAGGTTCCACCTTGTCCTTGCTCTCATTCATACCCAGGGCTCCTCCCTGACAACTTATCTAAGGGACAAGATCATTGAATAGGTTCCTCCACCAGCTCCTACCATTATGCCCAGTCTCATCCCTGTAATCCTTTCTTCATAGTGGTTTTCTGACTGAACCTTGACTGATACAGGCAAGGATCATAAAGACCTGTGTGGGCCACCCTGAGGAGTTTGAGCTCCATTTAAAAAATAGCTTTTCTCAAATCTCATTTGTTTGAGGGCCACTGTGGCAGAGGCAATGCTCAGTGTTCACCAGACCTCCTCCTTCCCATGGTGCTTACGGCACATCTCCAACCTCTCACGCAGCTCGGTGGGACCGTGGTACAAATCCGAACCAACAGAACGTGGGCTGAAGTGAAGTGTGTATGTTCAGACCTGGCCCCCACGTCCTTCCGCATGACACTGCAGACGTGCTCTTGTTTCTCCAATCTGCCAGCTGAGTGCAGCAGGTCCGATGGTGGACTTCAAGGCCTGAAGCGTTTCAGAGCCATTAGCTGGAAGGAACTGGGGTCCCTGAAAGACTCCCTGGAGCAGAGGCCCCCACTGCCCTGCATTGGGGTGTGACTTCAGATACAGAACTTTTATTTTGTAAAGACAGTGGGGTTTTAAAATTGCTAGAGGGGTTGTTGCTGTTGTTTACCTGCTAAGTCGTGTCTGACTCTTGTGTCCCCACGGACTGTAGCCTGCCAGGCTCTTCTATCCATGGGATTTCCCAGGCAAGATACTGGAGTGGGTTGCCATTTCCTTCTCCAGGCGATCTTCCAGACCCAGAAATTGAACCCATACTCTCCTGCATTGACAGGCAGATTTTTTTTTTTACCACTGAGCCACCAGGAAAGCCCAGAGAGGGTAGCCGATCTTAACAAGACACCCACCTTCACAGTTTTAGCCATAATCTTTTATCATCTGTATCATTATAGATTTAATCACTTAAAATTCACTCTTTATGACCTTAACTTATTTAAAAAGAGAGCTTTGTGTCCCTATCCATAAATAGAAAAGCAACCTCACTTATGGTAGAGAGAATGTAATAGTAAAAAAATAAATGCAATGGAAATTAAACCATGATGAAATTCTTGTTATATCCGGTTCCTGCCAAGGGCTCTAGAGCCCAAAACCTGCTTATATTTTGTTGTAGAGAGATTAATGAGTGTTCGATAGGTGTTAAAGACAGGTAAACACCAAAATGAGACTTTCTCTTTAATGTTCTTGAACCACCAGGGATAATCACCACACTTATAAAACTACATGAGGCAAAGAAAGCTGAAGAGTGTGAAAACATTTCTTATTATGGAAAATTTCTAACACATGTACATAAATTTAATGAGAATAGTCATATAACCCCCCTTGTGTGTATTACCCAGCCTCAACAGCTATAAACTTTTTGCTGTTCTTATACATCTATTCTCCCTACTTCCTTTTTGATAGAATATTTTAAAATAAATCCCCAAAATTATATCATTTTACCCACAAATACTTTAGTATGTACTTCTAACAATAAAGACATTTAAAAATTCACACAACACCATTATTGCACTTTGAAAACCAACAATTCCATATTATCATTTAATACTCAGCCTACATTCAATTTTTCCCTAATGACTACAAAAATGGGTTTTTGCAGTTGATTTCTGTAAATATGGATCTGAACAAGGGCACACATTGCATTTGGTTGACATGTCTTTTTTAAGCCTGAAGTGGATTGATTATAGTAAATGGCTTCTCTCCACATTCACTGCCTTAGCAATCTGACTTGGCAGCTTCTCCTATTGAGTGGTGGAGTCTATTTCTTGATCCTGAAATCTGGGTTTGATCATGTGTCTTGCTTTGGTCAAGAATGCAACAGAAGGGATGCTGGATGGTTTCTAAGTCTGGCCCTTGGGATGTCTCACACGATTCCACTTATTCTCTTAGATTCCTATTTCAACCAGGAGAACAAACTTAAGCAGCTTGTTATGGGGTAACCATGTCGGGGTGGGTACTTTCCTGAGTGAGGCCATTCCTGACCAGCTGGTCCACAGCTGACCTGCCAGCTGACCATCGATGCATGATCAAGCCTAGCCCACATCAGCTGAGCCTAGGCCAGACCAAAAGAACCACCCATCTGACCACAGAACTATGAGAAATAGTACATTGTTATTTTAAGCCACTATGTTTTAGTGTGGTTTATTACATAACATTATTATGGAGGATACAAATCTATCAGTTAACTGATACAAATCTACAAAATTTCTGCTCCTTTTCAAAATGTCATTTATGTGCTAAAGACATTAGGTCATTGGTTCTTTATTTTCTGACAGTCTAGATTTTTATATCCCATGTGTCATTATATTACATCCTAGATCATTATATCCCATGTATCATTTAATGTTAGTTCCTGTATTTTTTATAAACTGGTGGTTGGTTAATATCTAGGGCTTCCCATATGGTGCAGTAGTAAAGAATCAGCCTGCCAATGAAGGAGACACAGGAGAGGCAGGTTTGATCTCTGGATCAGGAAGAGATCCCTCTTCCCTGGAAGAGGAAATGGCAACCCGCTCCAGTATTCTTGCTTGGAAAAGCCCAGGGACAGAGGGGCCTGGCAGGCTACAGTCTGTGGGGTTGCAAAGAGTCAGACATGACTGAGCGACTGAGCATGTAAATGGTTAATCTCAAGGCTGGATTTGATTCAGGTTGGTTGGTTGGGCAAAGATACTTTGTAGGGATGCTGCTTCTGCATCACATCCACAGGCACACAATGTCTGATTATTCCTCTTTTGAGTAATGTTAAGATTGATCAGTGGGTTCAGTGAATAATTTTAGATGAGATTGGGATACTCAGAGAGATTTCCTAGAGGAATCAGGCTTGAGTTGGGCCTCTTTGAAGGGCAAATGGGAATGGGATAGGGCAAGGGAAAGAAGAAATATTCCAAGTGAAGAGGGAAGGATGTATGTGTGAGTCAGAGAGTATCCTGAAAATACAGGGCAAAAACTGGTTAATCTTCTCTCATATTAGTTTTCATTGTTATCCTTTGGTCTAAAGGCCGGAGCAGGAATCAGATTTTAATCTCAGGTTTTAATTCTAATGGGTGCATGGAGTATTTTGTTGGGACACCTCGTGAAATCACATTCCTGCTCTGTAGGAAAGAGTGCTGTGATCTACTAGTGATGTCTGGCATGGTGGTATGGTTGCTTGTGAATCTGCCAGAGATCAATGACTCTGCCCCACCTCGGGGTCTTTGACATTGGACCCTAGAAGGAAATAAGGGCTGAGTAGCATACCTGACATGAACTGTGGCAGTCTGTGTTGGTTGTTTACTAATCTTCATTCACTGTTTTGTTTTTGCTAATGGAATCTTAGGTATTGGATGGCAGAGATTGATTTAGATATGAACAATGACCGAATTCTGGTTAATGAGAAGTAAGGGGAAGTCTGCTTCTGGGTCTTCTGCAGAATTTTTTCTTCCTGAATTGAAAGAAATGTGCTGTGAAGCGAAGCTTCCTATTCCTATTTGAAGGTGGTTGTATAAGGACATGATGCGTGGAGCAAAGGCAGCCATCTTGTGACTATGAGGAGTTATGGCCAATATGTCAAAGATGCTGGAGAAGAAATATGGAAAAAACCTGGGTCTTTGAGGAAGGTGTTGAGTCATAAACAAACTCTGAAACAACCTATTACCAAGCCTGTTGTTATATAAAAAGTAAACCTCTATTACTTAATTTGTGTTTGGTCAGGCATTCTTTTACGTACACCTAAGGACAGCCCAAAGGATACACTGATCATCCTTCATGCTTCATGAGCATAGTTCAGACTAGCATTTTCAAAGCATGATTGAGTCATCAAATCAATGTATTGGATTATGACCAACATTTTTAAAAGTGAAATAACATAGATTATATGGGAATGCATGAGGCAGAGAAAAGATAAATATTGGTTTTGTTGAACTCTTGTTTAATTATGTGGGTCCCAGGTTTGGTTCTCCAAGGAAGCAAACTTTGAGACAGAATTTAGTGTTTGGAAGTTATTATGAGTGAGTATCCGTGAGATCAACTCCTGTGGAAGGGAGGGGAAAAAGCAGGAGTGGGCAGAGGGAGAGCTCAAGCTGGAATGGAGGTCTAGCAATGACCTCGGCTAACCCCATAGGAAATCTGGGAGTTAAACGGCTCTTCAGAATTATCCTGAGTTGGGCAAGATGGCCAGGCTTTTATCTTCCCCTCATTGGACACGAACGGCCTCTGGAAAGAGATGTGACCTTGGGCAAAGTTGCTCCATGAAGATGAAGCAAGGGACTCAGTCCAAGGGGTTGACAGCTGGAGACTCTCTGGAATAGAGCCTTCCTGGAAGAGGATGGAGTGTTTCTTGTCTGTCATTATGTGTGTGTGTGTGTGTTAGAGTGAATCAGATTGTGGTGCAAATGCATTCCTTATTGTGGGTCCTGGTCAAAGCAGTTTGCAAGCCTCTGGCAAGTCTGGGTTGTGCTTCCACCCGGAGTTGTTTTCCTCCTAATTGTCTTCTGGGATATTGCGTCGCTTTTTCTGAGGCTCTGCTTGTGAAAGGCAGCCCTGTCTTGGTGAGATGGTGCCCTGGCATATTTGAACAGCAATGCGGAGCTGAGTTGTTGGTGCCTCCCATGCACCAATGGCAGCTGCCGCCAGTGTCCCCAGATGAAAATGACTAAGGAGGATTAAGGCCAAGTGATGTCATCACGATCCCTGATGAAAA